GAAACATGCATTTCTTGTTTGCAGGAGGTACCCAAATCATATTGGTATTTGTGCCCAAAGAAAGTTGCTGGGAGAACTTGCTCGGAGAAACTTGCTCAGAGAACTTGCGCAGAGAAACTTGCACAAAGAAATTGAACAGAAAAACCGTCTTTTCTGTGCATGAAATCACGGCTAATTTGCTGTCCGGACATAATCTTGCCTACAAAGTAAAGTATGTTTTCTGACCACTTGCCTTCTACTTGTTTTTTGTGCAAGGAGTACCTAGTTGTCCTTGTGTAGGTCCAGTTCCTAGGCTTGTTGCGTGCCTACATGATGGACATGATGGACTGCAAGCCTGCAAATCTCAGGAATCTCTGCTTAACCACTACAGCCTGTCTGCCCAAACCAAGAAAACCGGGGCGCCTACTGCAAAAACATCAAAACTATACAGCCTGCGCGCTCAAACCAAGCAAATCAGGGGCACCAGGGGGATGTGTATATATATATATATATATGTGTATACATAGGCATATATATATATATATATATACGTGAACTATACATGTGTATGTATATATATATATACACTTACAAATGCATGAATGGATGCATGCATGCATGGATGGATGGATGGATGGATGGATGGATGGATGGATGGATGGATGCATGGATGGATGGATGGAGGGACAGATTGTTGGAGTGTACAGAGATAGAGAGAGAGAGAGGGGGCATGTATTTCTATGTCCGCCAAAGGGTCCCCAACTAGAAAAGCATAAGGCTGCTTGCCTCAGCCTTCCCAAACATTCGGAACGGAACCTGGCACCACATTTTTCTCAAAGCAGAAAATGACATGGGGCAGTCGATCATACTTTGCAAGGGGTCATCCCTTGCTCACGTCAACTCCCTGCAAATCAACCTGGAACGCCAAAAACGGGGTATCCCACAAGGAGCTTCCTCTAAGGATAAGAGCTTCTTTCTAGCTTCCATGTTAGTTTGCAGGAGGACAAACAAACAAACAAACAAACAAAATCAGGCAGGAGGCAGGCAGGCAGGCTGGCAGGCAGGCAGGCTGGCAGGCAGGCAGGCAAGCAAGCAAGCCAGCAGAGCGTGATCTATATAGCTAGCAAGCAAACAAACCGAAAGCAGCTTTTCGTCTGTTGCTTTGCCTGCTGAAGGTGGTCTTCACGGTCTTGGCAGCCGAGCCCACGTCGCCCTGCTCGTGCCAGAGGAAGAGAAAGCTGCAGCATAGCTTCATCACCTCAGGAAACGACGAAGCGACTTTCTTCTCGATCTGCGAAACCACTGGGAGGTTGGCGTTTTTTTGGACACCCTGTAGAGGAAGCACAAATCACAGGAAGGTTTTGCGAAACCCACACTACCCCAAAAATGTGCAGCAAAATGAACTCCCAGGCGTCTTCTTCTGTTTCTGAAGAGGTCGGGTTGCCCCGAAAAATTCAAGAGCGCGCTCTTGAGCATGGCGTCCATGCAAACATGGGTTGTAAAGGAAACCACTCTGAAAACAAGTACCCCTCAAACCGCAACCACTGAAGGGATTGATTCCACTAGGCTCTCCAGCCAAAGCGTGTGGCATTTTCCCTGTCCCTGGGCAGGCTTTGCGTGGCGGAACCTACGCTCTGTTAGAACCCTACCGTCATGTGCTGCCAAGGGGCAGCTCATGTGAGATTTGCTTCTAGACCAAAAAAAAGAAGCGAAGAGCGGGCAAGAAAAAATAAGAATCCGCGTGGGTTCTTTTGTGCGGTGCAGGAAGGGCTTACATTAGTTGCCGTGCATTGCCAATACCGCACTGCAGCACACAGAGGGCTGCCACATGCTATTTGGAGGGGCAGGCGGGATCGCTTCTGGTTATTTGGTTCTGCCTCAGCCGCATGGTAAGGGAAACTACGGGAGGTGGACAGGAAGACGACTGGAAAACTACGCCAAAAAAAAATGGAACACTGAGCGAAGACTTTAGGAAGATGGGAAGACTACGGCACGACTGCAGGAAAACTACGGCTGTGGGTTGGTAGGGATCGGGGGAACGGGTGGGCTAACAGTATGTGCATTTTCAAACCAATAGAATTTACACTTTATTTCCGGGGAAGGCTACAGCGAAGCCTACAGGAAAACTACGGGAAGACAACAGGAATGGCGTTTGCTCACTGGGGGGACTACAGAAAGACTAGGCAAGACTGCAGGCAGACTACCGGAAGACTCCCGGAAGACTCCTGGACGACTAGGGGGACTGCTTTTTAATAGTTAAAGTTGCACCTGCACGCAAGGCATTTCAGCCCCTGTGGATGGACAAAATCCTGTCCCACCAAAGAAACCCTCAGAATAATGACATCCCTGCAATGGTCCATGGTGTCTTAGGTGGTGCGAATCCCAAGCTCACACCAAAGGCAGCTCCCCCGCCTCGGAGAAAAAGACCGCAGTGGTGTTCAAGTATCTGGGCCCTAGCGCGACCACATGGCGAGCCAAAAGAACAAGTCTGCACCTGGCCTCAAGCATCGAAGCTGCTCTTCCGGAGGAAAAAAACAAAAACAAAGCGGAACCTCCATTGGTCCATGCCTCTCCTGTGCCACGCCCTTTCCTTATCTCGAAACCCCTGTCTTTTGCGCCTTGTCCGATTTCATTTCGATTCGTTTCCGCTCGGGGAAACTTCCCGCCAACTCAGGGGCCAGAACTATGGTGGGAAAATCTCCAAAGAGGCTCTCCATAGAGTACAACCTACTGTGACGACATCCTGCACCACCAGTAAAAAACCCTGAAATCATGACTCCGCTGCAAATGCCAATAAGCAATGGTTTCAACCATGGTTTCTTAGGTGCTTCGAAATCACAATAGCGCACCCGTGCAACACAAGAGGGGCTCTCAGGATCTTCTTACGGAGTCTTAGAGTTGGGAGAATCCGAACCATTCTGCTAGGTCGAAAGGCATGACTGGTGACTGGCCTGAACCCCCACTACTTTGCCACTTCAAGCCCGAAGTGTGCAGAATTGTCACAAGAAGATTCCTTGACCGCAGAATCTGGCAACAAACCGCCAAGCTGCTGTTAGCCGCGCCCCGCAATGTGGGAAAGCTTCCCAAAAAACAGGAGAACCATTCCCTCTTTTTCCTGCCGCTTCCTTCTAGCTTGTCTTTCAACATCCAGAAGGGGCGCCCAACAGAGCGGCTCCCGACAGTGCTGGCCTTGCCTTCCTCCACCCGCGTCCGCGAGAGGCGCATGGCAAAGACCACGCTCACAGTTTGAGCGACGAGCATCAGCAGGGACACCCATTTCCTGAAGCGGAGGCTTCTGGTTCAAGGTTTGCGCGTATCTGCACCCTCAGAGGGTGCCCGGGAGTTTCACATCACCCAAGCTGGGGAAACCTCTAGGGGTGCTCCTAGATCCTTCTCTCCAGGGATCCGAATCTTTCTAGAACACCCCCACGAACCCAGGGAAAACGGCCAGATTTTGAAAAGAACGATGGCTGAACAGAATGGGGAATCATCCCTTCGAAAACCCAGCTACTTTTCAAGCTCAGGCGACTTCTGAGCTTTGCACGTCTTCACGGTCAACAAGCCGAAGCCAAGCCAAGTGGGGGAGGTCCGTTACAACCCCTTAAAGTTTGAACACGGGTATGTGTCAAATTGGGGACCCAAAATCTAGGTCGTGTCCCATCGGTTTCCCTTGAAACTCAAACAACTCCCAACAAGCATTCCCTCAACAAAAAGACACACCCGTCGAAATTTACAGTTCATTTGGGAAGCACATGGGGGACTCTCTAGTTGTCCAACCTCGTGGGCTCAAATCTCCCAGATTTTGACAATGGCTCGCATGGCATGGTCCAGCCCAAGCTTTGTCAAGCCTTGTGTTTTTCGGGGTATCTTCCTTCCATGACTTATAACAATTGCTATGAGTTTGAATGGGTCCCCTTCAAGATTTGTTGCGAACAACTCCAACCATGCTTTCATCCACCGCAGTGTACCTACCTCAAGTGCGAATTCAATGTCACGGAACTCCGGATCTTGTCTTGGTGATGTCCACCAACTGCCAAACCAATCAACAAATCACCCTCAAACTCACTATCACAGATCAAAACTGGGATCCATGTGGTTGAGGGGTTGTATTCGGCCGTGGCTCAAACAATGGAACGGGAAACAAAAAAGCTAAAACCTGCATAACCCTAGCTCTTTAACTCTGAGCAGCACACCCATTTCTTCTTCTTGCTGTTAAACCAAAAAAAACAAAAAGAAACAACAACAAAACAAATGACTGGAGGGGGGGGGGTGCTGCGAAGAACCCACCCCGGCCCGAGGCGCATGGGGATGCCACAGAGCTTTGGCCCCTCATCGCCGCTCTTCGCCATGGCGAACCGCAAAAATCGAACACGTTGACCACTGCGAGTCAATCCCGTCCATCCATGTCCAGGTCACCTTGGCTCGAAATTTAGATGAATACATATACATATACATAGAGAGAGAGAGAGAGGTGTGTGTGTGTGTGTGCACATGTCTGCTTGTATATGCATGTGTATATATATATATATATGTATATATATGTACACAAATACATACGTTCATCTTCGCATCTGAAGGGCTCAGCTTGGGCCAAAGCGAAATGAGTGTGCGTCCCACTCGCTAACAAGCAGCCGCACAATGGTTGGTGAATATATAGCCTCGTGCTCATCACGTCATGCAAAAAGTCACAGGAGTCTGTCTACAAACATGGGTGTGGTTCACTTTTTTTGAGAGCTAGGGTTCCGCAGCTCTTGGTCTTTGTTTCCATTCACCTAGGGGCCATTTTGGGGCAACACTTTTTTTGAGCCACAGCCACATCTGTGTGCCCCAAAACACGGCTCTTCCTTCAGAATCCCTGTAAACGGGTGTGGGTCAAAATTAAACCACTAGGGGACCGCAGGTTTTAGTCCATGTTTCCATTCCATTTACCGGGGTTCCATTTTGGGTACCTGTTTTTGACCCACAACCAAACCTGAAAAAGGGAGGGCCCTCCAAAAGACACGAATTGCCGAGGCAGTGGCCTGTGGCAGGACTGCCTCAGCTCCCAACCGCGAGCAAAACGCCGACTGGTTTGGAGAAACGGAATCATACTGCGGGCGTGCGAAATCCGTGAATTCACCCCCCATTTTAGAACCTATTTTCGTGGGGATTGGGATGTTCGCTGGGGGACGATTTGGATTTTGACCCATGGCCATTTCGCACCTAAGAAACCATGGCTGAAACCATGGCGCGTCCCTATTTGCAGGAAAGTCATCATTCCAGGGTTTCTTGGGCGGTGCAAGATTTTGCTAATCCACAGTTGGTCTCCTTACCTCTAATTTGAGGTTTGGATTGCCGGTTTGCGTTGGAACTGGGGTTCAATCCCCAAACCAAACAATTAAACCACCAACAATGAGCCACCAGTGGGTATTGCGGGGGAACCCGGGCATTGAGTCTGCAAAATCGCCGGTGTCCCTGCCACAGGTCCTTCGGAAAATGAGTTTTCGTCCCTCAAAAGTGAATCGGAGGTGCGGCGCCCATTGCAACTGCCCAAGCTCCAAGGCATGTCTTCCGGTTTCACCGGTTAGTGGTTGCCATCAACTTGTGGCTGCGGCTTTTTTCAGCGGAGCCCCCTTTCAAAAAAAAACAAAAGATGTATGTGATTGTCCTTTGGATTTCCCTTCAAAACCGGGGCACCCCCCAATTAAAAGAAGAAAAGAAAGACGAGTTGAAGACACCGCGTTTTAGAGAAGCCATGCCGGGATCACCATCTGCGCGGGGGCAGCGGCATACACCTGACGGGTGAGTCTCTGCTTGAGGGCACCCAAAAGGAACCATTCTCGGGGCGGGGAGGGTCCCGACAAAAAGCACGTGTTTAGCTTATAGAATCCTGTTTTCTAGGGGGGTCTCGAAAAAAGCACAGGTTTAGCTTATACAGTTGGAAAAGGCACCAACTGAAAAAAGCCAACCCGCCCATGGATTCCGAAAACGCGGGGCAAACCCCATGGATCCGGCTGTTGTTTGCAACCACCTCTCACGCAGAGTGCAACTCAATGTAGTTTTGCTACTGCCCGAGTTCCTTACTCCAAATGGCTGTGGCTCAAATAAATGTTTCTCAAAATGGCACCTTGGATAAATAAAATCAAAGACTAAAACTCGCCCAACCCTGCTCTTGGAAAATTTGAGCCACACCCAAATGGAAAGCGAGGGAGACAAACTGTTTACCATGGTCTGTGATTGGCTGTTAGGGTATCTGCAGAGCTGTCCGAACTCAAGCTGACCAAGCTGGGAACGCGGCAGGCTCAGCACTCACCTAAGAAGAACTCAACCGACACCGGGATTCAAGAGGTATGGGCACTGTCTTGCGGAAAGGGACATTGATTCCCAGCTGGTCCGCTAGGTGCCATACGCCCATGCCATAGCTGCCATAGCTGCCGACCTGGCAATTGTGGCACTGGCAATGATCCCAATACAACGCCTGAGTCTTCCGAGTCTTCCGAGCCCCAGGCAGACCGCACACTGCCGGAGAGCAAGCCCTTAGTCACGAGTCACGGCTTTGGCCCGAGCACGCCAAAGCACGCGAAACAAAAGTGGCAATTGGCGCAGAGACTCTCGGAAGCCAAGCGATTGGACACTTCTGCTGCCTGGTAGTCCACCCCCCCCCAGATACAGCTGAAAAATAGGGATGCGTGGATTTGGCCAGCTACTCGCATCCCCTTGATGGGGCTTCCCATCCACAGGATGATTTAGTATGGGCGGAGAAACACACCCAGCCTCTTCAAGATGAAACAACACCTGCTATCTCATCCCACCCTCTCGCTTTTGGATCCAGTCGCCCCTGGTCGTCGGCCCAAGCTCAGCCCAGCTAGGCCCCACGCGCCCTGTTGGGTCATCATCTGGGCACCCATACCCTCGGTGGTAGCGGCCATTCTCGA